ACAATCAATAAATGAGAAAAATAACTACTGAATGCCCCAGAGACAGCAGACAATATCAAAACGTTTACAAAAACAGGACAGGATCGTTCCAGTAGGCATCCATAATAAAATACCAGATGACCTTCCAGTAGAAGAAAAGGAACTAGAACTACCTGATAGGGGATTCAAATATCTAATACTCAGAATTATCCAAGAGTTGAAGCAAAAAGCAGATGAAAATGAGGAAAAAATAGACAAATTCTTGGAAAAGGCAGACAAATTCATGGAAAATACAGACAAAAAAATGGAAGAATTCAGGAAAATAATGCAGGAACAAAATGCCAAAATAAATTCACAACTAGAAATAATATAAAAACAACAGTTACAAATCCAAAAGACAAACAAGAAGATTTCAGAGATGGACAGTGTCATAGAAGGGCTGAGGAACAGATTTGAGGCAGTGGAAGACAGGATCAGTGGAATTGAAGACAAACACTTGGATACAACTCTATTTGAGGAAAAATCAGAAAAAAGAACAAAGAAAAATGAAGAGATCCTGAGAGTTATGTGGCATACGATCAAAAGTAAAAATTTGCGAGTGATTGGAGTTCCAGAACAGGGGAAAAAACAGAAAACACAGAGAGGATCATTGAAGAACTGCTGACAGAAACTTTCCCCGATATCATGAAAGACGAAAAGCTGGCCATCCAAGAAGCTCAACGAACCCCATATAGGATAGACCTTAAAAGAAAATCACCAAGTGTCTTAGTCATCTAGTGCTGCTCTAACAGAAATACCACAAGTGGATGGCTGTCACAAAGAGAAATTTATTTTCTCACAGTCCAGTAGGCTACAAATCCAAATTCAGGGTGTCAGCTCCAGGGGAATGCTATCTCCATTGGCTCTGGAGGAAGGTCCGTGTTATCAGTCTTCCCTTGGTCTGGGAGCTTCTCTGTGCAGGAACCTCAGATCCAAAGGACGCGCTTTGCTCCCAGCACTGCTTTCCTGGTGGTATGAGGTACCCTTGTGTCTCTGCTCGCTTCTCTCTTTTATATTGCAAAAGAGATTGCATTAAGACACTATCTAATCTTGTCAGCCTCATCAGTATAACTTCATCACAGTGATAGAATTTACAACACATAAGGAGATCACATACAGTCTCATCATAGTAATAGAGTTTACAACACATAAGGAAATCACATCAGATTACACAATCACACAACACTGGGAATCATGACCCAGCCAAGCTGACAGATATTTTTGGGACACCAAGGCATATGATAATCATACTCGCCAAAACCAAACAAAGAATCCTGAGAGCAGCTTGTGAAAAACAAGAAGTCACATACAGAGGAGAAACAATAAGACTAAGCTCAGATTATTCAGCAGAAACCATGCATGCAAGAAGGCAATGGCATGACATATATAAAACCGGGAAAGAAAAAAACTGCCAGCCAAGAATAATATATACCACAAAACTCTCATTCAAATATGATGGTGAAATTAAGTCATTTCCAGATAAACAGAAATTAAGGGACTATATAAAAACCAAACCAAACTTATAAGAATTATTAAAGGGAGTCCTTCAATCTGAGAACAAACAACTTCAGCTCACAGGCTGAATCTAGGATGCAGGATCATACCAGCCAGATACCGATCTAGGAAATGAACTCTCAAGGACTATCCAAAACCAAAAGAAATACAACAGGGAATCAGAGCAGTTAATCTGTAAATGACAACAACATCAGAACAATA